AAGAGAGGAGAGAGGAAGAGAGAGTGCGCGCGTCATGAAAGACCTACATTTCGCGCTCAATATGCGGAGACCGGGGCGTTACATCACGATACGAGAGCCAACAGCAACAATGATTCAGCGTGTCAGCGGGTTAGCAGACGGAAGCGAGTATGTAGCGGAAGCGCGCGGACGAGCCAACTTCGATCAGCCGATCGTACACCGTGGACATTCGATCCTCCCTGACGGTGCGTGAACGGCGGAAACGAGCGAATAGCAATTGCGCAGCCTTGTCTCAGTTGCCCCGACAATCACGACAGTCTACCGGACTAATTATATATATAATATAATATATATATATATTATATAGAGCGTTCGTTTCGCTGGTGGAATAGTTAGCAGGGTCTAGCCCGACCACTGTAAAGCTGCTTTTTTTTTTGTGTTTGCTCAATAGAAAATGAAACCAATCATATGAGCAATGAGACCATGACTATAAAGCCAAATGAATTCCCACTAAGATATAATCCTGCCTGTCTGTCTTCTTGTAGCTGCGCTGTCGTCAGTCTGACCTCCTGTCCATCTATGGTAATGGTATATCCGTGATATATGTAAGTATAACGATGTTCGTGACGTACGATGCACGTAGGCACGCCAACTGCCGTATTTTTATTCACTCCTGATATATTAATACTCTCCGCCACGTGACTCACTCACGCACAACACACGCGCTGCCGACGAACAAACATTCAATACAAAGTAATAGTACGGTGTGTCTGTGTCTGGGTGCCGCATCTCGCTCCATAAACTACAAGGTCATGAGTTACAACCATCACGTGGCGCGCAGCTCTGGACGCCTACTCAGTCCTGATCGTAGAAGTTGACCACGAACATCTCAATCTGATTACGAACCAAAGAACTTGGTAACACGGGAAAAAACAGTAATTATAGCCAATCAAGCCAACAGATAACGCCAATCGGGTTACGCTATGTTGCCATATCGTGACTAACGCGGCTCGACTGGGCGGCAATTACACAAGGAAGAAACAGACAAGGCGAATTAGTCACGCTCTACATTCCATCGTAGCTGTTTGCGCAGCATACCAAGCGATTTGTTACACTAGCAATGTTTTTGCGAATTTTCAACCGTTATTTCCTTATCATATCAGGTGTCAGGCTGAATATAAGACTGTGTCAGCCCAATAGGGACTTTATATGGACGTCAGGTCTACCTGCTATTTTTACGTTACCAATAGCAATTCCCTATAATACAGTGATAACGGTAAAGCTCAGGTTAATAGCTGTTTGTGTTATCTGTATCGCGCCATTCATTTTAAACTGCGCATTCTAAAGTTCAGCAGATTTTAAGCAGAATGAACTATCCTTATTGCATACTGGGCGATTGTCACGGTTTTTGCTATGTGACCATGACTGTAGCGGTCATGGTGACGGCTACACCAGAGTGGGTGAAGGGAAATGGTAGGAGGATAACTAAGGAATGAAATGTCCAAAAGCGAAAGGACTTCGATAAGGGAAACAGCTGGTCTTTATGTGCGAAGCAGAGAAACCTGATTGACGAGGAACTAGGACCAAGCGAATTAAGCGATCAGGAAAGAGTGCCCACGACTACGCTGCCAAACGCCTCTTATTTCTTATTCCAGCAGCTCTTCCCGCCTCATGTCCCTAGCGAGTAACTAAGAGCGGCAGTGCGTTTCATTCTGCTGCTCTACCAAGAGCGTCGCCACGGCGTGCGTCATCGTCACTCGACTACTGCAGCTAGCCCCGAGAACCGAAGGAGGGGGGCAGAGCGCGAGGGGATACTGAACGCGAAGATATGTCAGAAGGGATAGGCGAAGAACCCACAACGCTCAACACCCAACGACTACAACTCCAGCACGCCTCGATAGGTCGCCCATGCTAAAGATGGCCTATATGGCCGGATATGTTAAATACCTGAATTAATTTGGTATGGCCCGTGTCCGTCACATAAATAAGGATTGCTTTGATATGTTCTTTCATGGAGTTAACGACGTGGATGTTGTGCAGGCCTGCCGTCAGGCAGGCATGCATGCAAAGTCCATTCGCAGCTGTATGCAGCCATGCAGTGCGCAGTTGCGCATGGCGCATGCAGGCAGGCGTGCAACCCATGATTTTCCGCTTTTAAATGGATGTCCAGCTAAATATGAAAATTGATGTTCGCTTATGAAATGATGTCGCTTTAATGAAATGATGCCCGATGATAGTAAACCTACGAAGTGTAATATTGGTCCGCTACACATATCACGTTAATTCCTCATGAATCGATAGCCTCACTTTGTTACGATTGTTCTTATATAAGTGGCGTATCCCGTTACGCTATCACGCTGTGCTTTTATCTAACTGTTCACGCAGCGAATTATAAATACAATAAAAAAAATATATAATAATAAATATATATAAGTATATAATAAAAATGTCTCATTGTACAAGTACTGCCGTTATTACACTACTCTTTCATGCTATGCTAATTATGTTCGCCTATAAAAACTCATCTACTGTTGTAACTGCACTGTATGTGGTTTGTACGATGTTATTTTATAACAACTTACCGTGTTGTGAGGGTAAACCAGAGCAAGCCAAAACCCCAGGCGCCCCGCGTGCCCCCGTCGGCCCGACACGTACCCGGCGAGCCCGCCCGCCGCAGACCACACACCCTCCCCGCCGGCGCGCGCGCCGCGCGCGCCTGTCCCCCTCATTGCTCTACACTACTGTATTATATACTGACTGTAGTATTCAGATAGCGTTTCCCTATTTCCCGTGCCGAATAATAAAGACTTAGCAGATTTTATTTTCACGATGATACATTTCGCTTGCACACGCGTAATTGCTCATTCGGTTAATACGCTATATAGTCTGCTAATCTGACGAACACTCAAACTTCGTACGTTATCTTATGTAATCCATGTATTCTGCGCACATTTCTTCTCAGTTATTACTACTACTTTGCCACGCTATGTTAGTCCACACTCAAACACTCATTGCACGTACAACAGTCGATAATTCATTCAGGCGTAGCATATTTATACGGTCACCCTATTATTGAAATCAACATGCGAGTAATTTGTCGTGATAGGTGTTCTGATGTGGGTTGTTGCCGGGGAGAAGTTTTTTAATTTGGGGGGTAATGCGGTCTTGGTGCGGGCGGAATGAGTGTGTGTGTGGTGGGCGGTGACTTGATAGGTGTGTTGTGTTGGGTGGGGCTGGGGCCAGTACTGTAGGGTGTTTAGTGGGGGGGACAGCTGTGTTTCGTGTGGGTGGTGCGCGTGAATAGGTGTTGTTGGTGGTTGCGCGCGGATATGTGTGTTATGTTGGGGTGGCGGACATACATGCATTGTGGTGGGGCGAGATAAAAGTGTTGTAATGTGCTGGCAGGGATAAGTTCTGTGTGGGTAAGGCTGGGCGGATACGGGCTTTTCTGATGTGGATGGGTGCTCGGCCGAGGATCGTGTTCTGTGTGGTAGGTGCTGGCGGGACGGTGTTTGTGCTGCGTCGGTGCTCCGGCGGGATTTGAGGTTTCTGTGTGGATGGTGCTGCGGGAATCGGTGTTCTTGTGTGGGGTGAGGTGCTGGCGGATAGGTGGTTCTGTGTGGCGTGGTGCTGGCTGAATGCGGTGTTCTGTGTGGTGGTGCTGGCGGGATAGGTGTTCTGTGTGGATGGTGCTGCGCGGGATCTGTGATTCTGTGTGGGTGGGTCGGCGGGATAGTTTTGTGTGGATAGGCTGGCGGATCGTGTTCTGTGTAGGTGGGTCCTGCCGGCGATCGGTGTTCTGTGTGGGTGGGTGGTTGCGGGATAGGTGGGGTTGGGTGGGTGCTGGCTGGGATAGGTGTTCTGTGTGGTGGTGCTGGCGGGATAGGGTGTTTCTGCTTGGGTGGTGCTTGGCGGGGTAGTGTTCTGTGTGGTGGTCGGCGCAGGATAGGTGTTCTGGTGGGGTGCTGGCGGGATTAGGTGTTTCTGTGTTTGGTGGGGTGTGTGCGGTTGTGTGATCGTGTGGGTGGGTTGCTGGCGGGATTACGGTGTTCTGTGTGGGTGGGTGGTGGCGGATAACTAGCTCGACGCATATCCATGATAACATCAGGAGTGTATAATAACCCTATTATACACTCCTGATAACATGTTAATATAGCGAAGTCATTAAAGTTACACAGCTGTATCTTTATTACTGTACTACCGGTATAGCAAAGCCTAGCTATCATAGATTTTAGATCTGTATTAGTAGTATCCTAGATATATGCTCTGAGCGCGAACGCGCCTAGATATATGCTCTGAGCGCGAACGCGGTGATGGAAGGGTGCTCTTCATTTGTTTGCCAGTGAGTTTAGCATCCGAACACCTGCCGTCAGGTGAGCGCTGTCGCTCTGCGGCACTTGTTAGACACTATTGTCAAATTCCCCTCGGTACGTGGATATGCCTCACGGCCCGCTTGATTCTACGAACTTGTGCTAAGTGCACGCTCGTAGTTACACTCTTCTCATATTTCTTTTATCATTACTCATCTTTCATAGCCGATATTGCTTTCTGCTCACTTCGTTCTCGTGATCAGTGCCAGCTGCTGCAGGCTGTAATAAGCGAGTTCGTATAGTCTGCACTCCTGATAGTATCGCACGGCTATATACGGTTTCGTCACATGAAGGTTTGAATGCACGCGTATGTTACCTGATCGTTTTCGGCTCGATGCTGCGCAGTTTTAATGGGGCATGCGCGGTGTTTGCATTTTTTTGTAGGTTTGACGGTACACGCGCGGTTTTAGCAGTTATCTTTCTAAAGTTGCATAGACGATGTTAGCAGTGCTTGCATCTTTGGCTGTGCATGCACGGTTTTAGAAGTTTTTTCTATAAAATTGCATACACGATGTTAGCGGTTCATGCATCTTTGGCGGTGCATGTACGGTTTTAGCAGTTTTTTCTTCGATGTTTGACGGTGCGCGCACGCTTTTAGCAGCTTTCTCACAGATTTCTGACGTGTTCGCCTGTGTTTTTCTCGTTGCGCAGGTGCCGAGGTGGGCATCAGTACGTCGCGCATCCACGCGCGCGGGCCCGTCGGCGTCGAGGGACTGCTGACGACCAAGTGGGTGCTGCGCGGCTCCGGCAACGCCGTCACCGACTTCAACGACTACGGCCTCAAGTACACACACGAGGCGATGCCGCTCGACGACTGATAGGGTTCCTGGCCTCACGTCTGTGCGCGGCGGAAAGGCGGATTTGAGCAGTCGCAAGACTGACGGGCCTCCTTTGCTCGCCTTCATGCTGTTTATATATCCATATATTCTATATAAAAATATTATTAGTCATCCCCGACTCTCCCTTTGTCTGACTCGATGTATATGTGTATGTATATATATATATACATATGTATGTATATATATATACATATCATCACTATAGCGCGGGACGACTAACCGATAGTATGCGCGCCGCATCACACGCAGGTTTTGTCGACCTCGTCGTCGGCCGCGTCGTTAACGAAGCAATCGGTTCTTGATAATTTAAAATCAAATTAATCAATGCTTATTAGTAATAATAGTGTAATTGTATTCTAACCTGCATTTTAGCGCTATATCTATCAACATATCTCCATATATACACATGTGTATAGTAACTTGCATTACTCCTTATATTACTTTATATATTTTTATTTATTATATTTCAGTGGTGAACATTAGATAACACAGCGTGAAGTAACGGAACGCACCTTTAATAAACAATCGTAACATAAGTGATGCATATTAACAATCGGTAACTTATAAGCTCTTCTTCTTTTAACTTTCCTCCGTATATTATTATATATTTTTATTTATTATAATTCAGTGGTGAACATTAGATAACACAGCGTGAAGTAACGGAACGCACCTTTAATAAACAATCGTAACATAAGTGATGCTATCGATATGAGGAATTAACGTGAGATTATGTGTAGCGGACCAATATTACACTCAGGTTTTACTATCAACGGGACATCCATTTCATTAAGCGGACATCCATTTCATAAGCGAACATCAATTTCATTAAGCGGACATCCATTTCATAAGCGGAAATCCATTTGCACGCCTGCCTGCATGCGCCTGCGCACTGCGCACTGCATGGCTGCTACACTGCATGGCTGCTGCACTGCCTGCCTGCACGGCAGGCCTGCACAACATCCAGTCGTTAACATCCATGAAGAAATATCAAAGCAAATCCCTTATTTATGTGACGGACACGGGCATACCAAATTATTCAGTATTTAACATATCCAGGCCATATAGGCCATCTAGCATGGCGACCTATGAGAGTGACGATGACGCACGCCTTGGCGACGCTCTTGTAGAGGCAGAGAGATGACGACGCATGCGTAGGACATGAGAGCGGGAAGAGTGGAATAGAAATAGGGCGTTGGCGCGTATCGTGGGACACTCTTCTCCTGATCGCATTAGCGCTTGGTCTTAGTTCCTGTCATCGGTTCTTTGTTGCAATAAAGACACAGCTTGCCCCTTATTCGAAGTCTTCGCTTTTGACTATCAGTTCCTAGTTATCCTCCTACCTTTTCCCCTCACCCACTCTGGTGTAGCGTCACCATACCCGCTACATATGTTCACATAGCAAAACGTGAAATCGCAGTGCAATAAGGATAGTCATTGTTAAATCTGTGAATAGAATGGCGTTTAATGAATGGCGCGTACAGATAACAAACAGCCATAACCTAGCTTTACCGTTTCACTGTATTATAGAATGCTACTTGGTAACGTAAATATAGCAGGCAGACTGACGTCCATATAAAAGTCCCTATGGTGACACAGTCTTACTACTCAGCCTGACACTATATGATAAGGTAATAACGGTGAAAATGTGCAAAAAATTGCTGTGAAAATGTGGTATGCTGCAGAACAGCCTACGATGGAGTAGGCGGACTAAATTCGTCTTTCTGTTTCTCCTTGTGTGCCGCCCAGTCCGAGCCGCGTTGTCACTATGGCAACATAGCGTAACCCGATTGGCAGTTATCTGTTGGCTGATTGGCTAATTCTGTTTTTCCGTGTTTCTACAAGTTCTGTTGTCGTAAATGAAGATTTCTTCAACTTCTAAAATCAGACTGAGTAGGCGTCCAGACTGCGCGCCACGTATGGTTGTAATCATCCTTGTAGTTTAGGAGGAGATGCGGCACCCATACACAGACACCGTACTTATAGTATTGATGTTTGTGTGCGCGCGCGTGTGTGTGCGTGAGTGAGTACGTGTGAGTATATATATATCAGGAGTGAATAAAAATAACGGCAGTTGCGTGCCTACGTGCATACGTACGTACGAACGTATACTTTACATATATACGTATACATTACATAGATGGACAGGAGGTCAGACTGACAGACGGGCAGCCAGCTAGACAGACAGACAGGCAGAGATATATTTAGTGGGAATTTCATTTGCATATAGATGGTCTCATTGCTCATAGATGGTTTCATTTTCATTGACGTGGTCGGGCTAGACCCTGCTAACTATTCCACCAGCGAACGAACGCCTTATATATATATATATATATATTATATATATATTGTCGGTTATGTCGTGTTGTCGGGGCACTGAGACGGTGCGCATTCTTTCGCTCGTTCGCCTTCACGCCGTCAGAGGGGGGATCGATGTCCACGGTGGTAATCGGCTGTCGAGTGGCCGTCGCGCGTTCGCTAAAAGCTCGCTTCCGTCTGCTACCCGCTGCCGTTGTTGTTGCTGTTGCTCTCGTTGTGTGTAGCCGTCTCCCGTCTGGCGCGTATGTGGCTCTTTCATGCGCTCTCTCTCTCTCTCTCTCTCTCTCTCTCTCTCTCTCTCTCTCTCTCTCTCTCTCTCTCTCTCTCGCTCTCTCACCTCCTCCCTCTCGTCCTCCCTCGCCGTCTCTTTCTCTTTCGCTCTTCCCCTCTCTCTCGCTCTCTCTCTCTCTCTCTCTCTCTCTCTCTCTCTTTCTCGATTTCTCCTTCTCTCCGCCTCTGTTTCCCTGTGGCCCCTCTCTCTCTCTTTCTCCGTCTCTATCTCTTTTTCTCGCTCTCTGTTATTCTAGCTTTCTCTTCCTCTTGCTGTCGCTCTCTCTCGCTCTACCCCTATCCCTCCATCTCGCTCTCACTCTCTCTCACTCTCCCCTCTCTCTCTCTCTTTCTCTTCGCTCTCTCTTTCTTCTCCCCCTGTTTCGCTCTCACGCGCGCTCTCTCTTACTCTCTATTTCTATATCATCAATTCATTTCGCCTACTAACAGGCACTCGCATTCTCTACTAAGTCAGCGAACGCCACTTTAAACGCACTCACGCACCTTAAAAGCATGTTCAACGGTCGCTAAGAGCGAATCTATGCACGAACTATATGTGTATATAAAAAAAAAAAAAAAAAAAAAAAAAATATATTAATTATATATAATATATATATATATATATATAGAGAGAGAGAGAGAGAGAGAGAGAAGAGAGAGAGAGAGAGATATATATATATATATATTATATAGTATATATATATATATATATATATATATAATATAGATAGATAGATAGATAGATTAGATAGATAGATACGATAGATAGATAGATAGATTAGATAGATAGATAGATAGATAGATAGGATAGATAGATAGATAGATAGTATCGTAGATGCATAAAGAATAGATTAGATAGATGGATGGATGGATGATGAATGGAATGGATGGATCGATGGATGGATGGATGGTGGATGGATGGCAATGGATGATGGATTGGATGGATGGATGGATTGGATGGATGGTATGGAGGATGATGGTATGATGGATGGATGGAATGGATGGATGGATGATGGATGGATGGATGGATTGGATGGATGGATGGATGGATGGATGGGATGGATGGATGGATGGATGATGGATGGATGGATGGATGGATGGGTTTTGGTGGGTGGTTGGGTTGTGTAGGTAGGTCGTAGGTCGGTAGGTCGGTAGGTCGGTAAATCGGTAAGTCGGTAAGTCGGTAAGTCGGTAAGTCGGTAAGTAGGTATGTAGGTATGTAGGTATGTAAGGTAAGTAGGTGTGTAAGGTTTTGGTAAAGTAGGTATGTAGGTCGGTAAGTAGGTGTGTAGGTGGGGTACGTGGATAGGTATATAGATGAATAGATAGATACATACATACATGACTACATGATATCTGTTACATGATACGCGATACATGATACATGATACATGATCACATGGTAGATAGATGATAAAGAATTAGCTAGTTAGATAGATAGATAGATAGATTAGATAGCTAGATAGCTAAGATAGATAAGATAGATAGATAGATAGATAGATAGATAGATAGATATGATAGAATAGAATAGATGATAGATAGATAGATAGAATGGAAATGTGGCCGTGGTTGTGGTGGGTTTGTGTGTGTGTGCGTGCGTGCGTGCCGTGGCGTGGCGTGCGTGCTGCGTGACGTGTGTGTGTGTGTGTGTGGTGTGTGTGCTGTGTGTGTGTGTGTGTGTTGTGTGTGTGTGTGTGTGTGTTGAGTGTGAGTGTGAGTGTGAGTGTGCAGTGTGAGTGTGTGGTGTGTGTGTTTGTGTGCGCTGTGGCGGTGTACGTGGTGTGTGCGACAGTTCATTAATAGCGGCGTATGCTTTACTGTGGCGTGTGGGTCGTTGGCTGGCCGGTGCCAATGCCATGGTCATGCCGTTCTGTTTTTAGCTCATTCTGACATATCGCTTGTAGAATCGGCATGATCGTCCCGTGCGTGCGTCCGTCCGTGCGTCTTTACCCGCTCGACGTACGGTCACGATTATTCGGGACGTTGGGGGGGATCGTCAAAAAGCGAGTTGGATGTCGAAGCCTGGGGGTCAAAAGGTCCAAAGCTCAAGAGTGTAACAGAAGGGGAAGCATTCCTCTTACTTAAAGGTATAGGGAGGAAATGCAGAATTGCGGCAAAATCTAAACGCTGCGACCTAAGCTCGTGATAGTCGGTGTATAGCATCATGGTAGGAAAAGCCATCACTGTGCGAAAATGGAGGCTGCACAGGTCAACGGTCAATGGGGCACAGGAAGATTTTAGACATTTTCTGAGGACATGGCTGACGGAGGCGATTGAAAAAACTTTTGTTTCAGCGGCTGACCTAGGCATTTTTATGTGCTTTATTGAAAGGACATGAATGTACATTTCTGTGACATGTGAAGAGTAAATGTCGATAACGCTTCTTGACCTCAAGAGAAGGGTTAAACATGGATTTTGTTGACTGTTAACAAAGAGCTGAACTGGCTTGTTGCTATTGTGGATGTGAGCGCTACAGTGCACAGTTCAATTGCAAAGGCAATGCTTCGATTGAACAGTTTAACCTCTTAAAGTTCACTACTTGATTCT